AAGTCAAAACAATCCAGGGACCTAATTATAATTATAATTAAAATGATAACACTTGTGGAAAGCAACATAGGAGAAAAAATGCTTTGTGACATTGGTTTAGGGAAAGATTTCTTAAATAGGAAAAAAATTATGAAACATGCAAAAAGTAATAAAGTGGACTTCATCAAAGTTAAAATACTGTGGTTCTTTTCGGGACACAGTTAAGAAAATTGATGACAAGCAATAGACTGAGAAACTATTTGCAAAAAAAAAAAAAAATTCCGCATCATAATTTAAAAATAACTTTTTTGTACCATAATAATAAGAAAAAAGTACATTTTTTAAATGAGCAAAATATTTCAACCCATTTCAAATAAAAAAAATATTTATAAGCAGTAAACTCATGAGATGTTCAATATCACTAGTGATTAGGAAAGTATAAATTAAAACCACTGTGACTTCCCACTATATACTTACTAGTAAGTTCAAAATTAAAGAGATTAAGTGTTGACAAGTACATGAGCAACTAGACTCTCATAAATTTTGGTGGGATTGAAAAATAGAGTGAGTCCATTTGGAAAAACAGCTTGGCGGTTTCTGATCAAGCTAAATATTCACTTGCCATTGACCTAGGACTATTCACTCCTAAGTATGCACCCAAGAAAAAATGAAAACATATAGAAATATATATATGCTAATGAGGGGTTTATTTATAATATCCAAAACTTAAAATGAATTACATTGACTAGTGACTGAACAAATTGGTATAGCTATACTATGGAATATTAATATAGGAATGAGCTATTGATACATGCAGCAATATGGCTAAACATTTTATTATGGCAAATGGAAGCAACCAGAAATGAAAAAACTATAAAGTCTGATAACATTTATATGAAATATTGACTATAAAAACTATAGTAAAAGAAGTGCTTACCACTCCATGTGTTTGAGAGAAGATTGTATGCAAAGAAGCATGGGGAAACTTACGCTCCATGTGTTTGAGAGAAGATTGTATGCAAAGAAGCATGGGGAAACTTTTGTTTATTGATGAGCATGTCCTATATGTTGATTGTAGTGGTAGTTACATAATTGTTTATAATTGCTCAAACGCAACAAGCTATGCCTCAAAATGAGTGAATTTTACCATGTAAATTTTATGTGAATAATACTAACATGTCTTATTTTTTCAATTGCATCAATTCCATTGATTCCATTTTCCCATATTTCACTCCTGAGCTATTGATACATTTACCTAATTATTATGTATGGAGTCCTATATTTACCTAATTTTAATTGTGTGGGATCCAATGTTCTCTGAAACCAAAAAGAACAGAAATAACCATTGAATTTATATATATATATGTATTTCTAATATGTAGCTTATAAGTACCACCCTACACTAAAACCTGCTCCTATAGTAGAACTTTCAGATATAGTCCAAAACACAAATATGACCCAAATAAAATACAATCACTAAAATAGTACCACATTTAAAAGTTATGTTCTAGAATTCTTCTTTATAATAATTATAGGGGGCCTCCCCGGTGGCGCAGCGGTTGAGCGCTGGGTTGCGAAGCTGCCCGCAGCCTCTGCAGCGCCAGTTCGATCCCCGGCTGCTCCCCGGCCACCGGAGGAGGGTCCCACATGGCGCGCAGACCTCTCCTGCCGCCCGCTGCTCCCCTCAGCAGTGTGCTTCGGTCCTTCTGCCTGCTCTGCTCCCCGCTCTGGCTCTGGTGAATTCTCTCACCCTCCCGCGCTTCTGACTGTACCCAGTGCATGTATAAACAAAACAAAGAAAGAAAGAAAGAAAACATGCCTCTCTATATAATAATTATAGTACACGACTTTTACTCTAAAGACAATGAAAGATCTGACAGACTAAGAACTGTCAGAATAAAAAAATAAATAAAATCAGGTCTTGATGCTTGATCCAAGATTCAATCTAATTAGCAAAGGAAATGGCTGTGCTTTGTCAGAAGAATCTGAGCTGGCAGAAATAGGAGAGGAGAAAGAAGCAGAGGCACGAGAGGAATTGGGTCACAAGAATGAATGCAGTAGATGCTCGCGTAATGATGACTTGGTCAATGCCTGAGCCTGCAGATGTGGGACAATACCAATTACAATTCATGGCCCAGAAATAAGAGGCAAATTAATGAAAAGAACCAGATGGTGGAGCAAGGACCAAAGCAAGTACCTGTAAATAATCAAACCAAGCTGCACTATACAGTCATAAAAGGCAGCCATGGTAATGTCCTATGCAAATGACAGATGTGGACTAGGAGGGTAACAGTAACAAGAAGTCAGTGATCCTAGAAGGCAAAGGAGTGGTGCAGTCAAAGGGGCACAATTCAGTTCTGCCGGAGCGAAATGGCATTCCTATGTGACACATCATATTCATAACACATCATCCTTTTAACCAGGTTACACAGGACTGCAGTCATAGTCTTGTGATTTCAAAGAACAAATCAACTTTATTGTTGTCTTTGCAATAGACAAGAAGTCCCCGACCTTAAATCCTAATGAGATATAATGAACCCAGAGAGACACTGACAATGTGAAAGTTTAATATATTTGCCAGCCAGGTTATTTAAATGGAAGCATTCTTGATACTTTTGCAGAAAAAGAGTGGGAATCATGGCTGAGAAGAGCCTAAATTTCCTTAAAGAAGACTTGGCATTGCTAGTGATACACCTGCTCAGCACAGTAAAGAGCAAGAACTATCATTTTTCATTTCTAGTCATTCAAAGTAGCAGTCAGCTGCTGAGCTGCCCAGCGTCTTTTCCCAACCAAATACTTAGTGACTGCCAAAAGGTGCATGATCCTGAAAAAAGAAAGAAAATATTTTAACGAAACCAATGCCGATGAGATTCACTGTGTGCCTAAAACATCAAATCGTTTTTCATGTTATTTGCAAAGACTAAATAAAAATGGGGAAAGTGAAAAATATGTCTGTATTGCTAGAATCATAGGAATTCGAAAGAAACAAAGAATACAGTAGTGTTACCCAAGAGAAACAAGAGCCTGAAGAATGAGAAATGACATCTTTCAACATAGAGGAAGAAACAATAATGTGGCATGTCAAAAGTCTTCTAAAAGAAAACAGGCTGAATATCACTGTATTATGGGAAGCAAAGCAGCAGAAGTAAAATGCACAACAGATTTGTAATAAAACTGTACTGATTTTTATTTCAGTAGCAGAAAGAGTGTTTTACATATACATGTATTACTGTCTATTGTAAACCAGGGCCATTTCACCATCTTGAAAATCTGCATAAACTGTCAAGGGGGAAAAGTCTCCATTTTACAGCTACAATATGATTAAAAAGAATTTTTCTAGATATGTTAATTTGGATGTGATACTATTACCAGGACATCTACTGATTAAACCTTAACTTGTTCTGATCATACTTTGCATGCTAGCCCACATAGAAATTCTTCTATTTTCACAAGAACTCATTCCAGAAGGATTTCACTACTTCTCCATATTTCCAAATAAATACTTTGAGACCAGCAGTGCAATTCAGGTATCTTGATACCCCGAGTATCCAGCGTAGTGCTTGGCCACAGATAACAGGCATAGTAAAATTTTATTAATATACTAATTTTCTGTTTTTCTAGTGCCAACTGAAAATTGACTGGTAATTTATGAATAGAAGGTGTAACTCAGAAACCTATTTTGTTACTTTTAGTTGAACTTGAAAAAGATTTTGTAATAAAGTAGATTGAAACTACTGGTTCTGCACTATGATTACATGTTAATACTTTATTCAGACACCCTTTCTCCTTCGTTAGCATGAATAATGGTCGGTGTAAATCAACTGATCTAAGAAGGACCTTATTCTTGAGACCACAGCAATGACCAAAGCAGTTTTAAATGGTTCCTCATGGAAGAGGAAGTTCAAAAGTCTAAATTGGCAGTGTTGGTAACTCAGAGGAAGGAAAGAATCCAGGTAACTCTTCACATCAGTGTTTCATTGATGTCTAACACAGTGCTTGGAGAATAATGGGTGTCAGTATATCTCTGAGCAATACCACATGGTAACTTTATTTGCCAAGTAAGCATAGGACACCGATCTTAACTCCTTGTGCAAATTATAACTTACTGCGTAGGCTGTGAACTCCTAAAGAACAGGACACATAGCTTCTATGATTTTTGTGTTTCTAGCATATAGCACTGTGCATGACATACAGGAGAAAGCCAACTATTTAGGGAATAAATATATGAGTAACTGTTCCAGACTGAACAAAGGTATAGTATGAGTCTCCCCTCTCATGATATATGGTGGTGTTTTTTGTTTTTTTTTTGAACTATTAAGGTATGTGAGCAAGGAAACAACATTATGTTTTACAACTCACTCTCTCAAAGCTCCTTTTTGCTTTTCTGTTTCCTTTTATTCTTTGATACTACTATGCATGAGTTATTTAGAACTGGAAATTTTGAGCATAAAGTCATCTTGCAAAAACCCAATTTCAAAATTGTTTTGACCTTAAAATTCTGTCGCCTGATGTTTACTCCACAGGTATGTATTGTTGTCTTGGTAGTAAGATGCTGCCAACCTTGAAAGTCAAGGGAGACAACTAGAGCAGAATAAATTGAAGTGGAATAAAAGGAAACTCACATTTTTTTTTTTTTTAACTAATTCTCACTCTTCACTTTCTGAGGCATTATGTTTAAAAGTATACCAACTGTCAGATAGTGTATTTGCCCCCATTTCAAAGCTCTGACTCAGAGAGGTCAAAATGATTTGATCAAAGTGACTGTAGAAAAAGTTTGAAGGGAGACCGAGCTGATCTCCAGTGTCTGTCTCTTTACTGTGTCTCATTGTTCACATTCAAAAATAAAGACCTATACTCTATTGTGTGCTCCTGAGAAAGGATGGACAAACTTAGAGCCAGGATTCTGGTCACAAGTTCAATATTCAGGGCAGAGTTTGTCTCTTTTTTTCAAAAAATAAATGGCATTGGCCAGTCACATAACATGCTTAACTCTAGAAATATGTTGTTCCCTTTGTTTGCAGGTAATGACCCATGACAACATTGAGGTCACTCTCCTGTGATTGCTCACAGCTATGTTCTACACACCTTGGATAATGCCAGCTCAACAGGTTTTAAAATCTGCAGGAATAGTACCTTTTGAAGCCAAATGACAAATCTATCAGAGTGAGTTCTTTTTTCTCAGTATGTTACAACCTGCAACATCTGACTGAACCCCTTGATATGGCTCTCTTGGGGAACTGGGAAGCCAAAACAAGTTTTACCTGGTGTTTAATGATAACCTCTGAAAATAAGGGGAAATGTGAATACTTGTATTCGTTGACTTGGCAGTTTCCTTACAGGTTAAATTTATTAATATGAAGTTGTGGTCAGAAGCACTAAAAGCAATTTTGTATGGTCTATTTGACACATTCAAAAGGTAGCAATTGAGGATAAATAACTGTTTCCAAACAAAATGAAGGTATTGCTGGTATATATAAATATAGCTATAGATAAATATATCTCTAATGTTGTAAACATTTTAGAGTCTCTCCTGATCTATCATTTATAGTGTCTCCATTAAAATTATATTTTGTTCTCTATATTTATCAAAATGTATTTTTCTTGGTTTTAACTTTTAACATTTATTAAGGAAGTTTATACACATGTTTTTTTAAGCAAATACTGCTATCCTATCACTCTCCAACCCCAATATAAATCCTATTTCCATGAACTTTCTACTTTTGTGCCTTTTATCTATTTCTTTAGCATGCAACACTCCGTAACCATCAAAGGTTCTTATAAACCCTATCAGTGGTATTAATGTCTAATGAAGACAATGCTTAGTCTTTACTTTGGATATAAGTTAATCCACCTAGACACTCAGGCTTCTAGGAGTGTTCTGGGTCCCAATATATTTTAATAGAGACTTCAAGTGGGAAAAGTACCTTTGCTTTCTCTACTGCCCTTGTAGTCTGGATTGGAGATCAAGGTCAACTAGAACAACATTAATTCTCCTCTGACCTCAAAAGGTAAGTCAGTCTCCTGCAGAGCACGAGGACCAACTGTGCCTAAGTCAGTCCACACTGATCAGTGCTGAGGTGATAGTGTGGGACAAGTGCTGAGGTGAGATCAGGACTGGGCATCACTGGACTACCAAAACAGAGTTTGGAATCAGGCTGGAACCCAGCCTTCTGATCATTCCAAAGGAGGTATTTATTTGTTCCCATAAAGAAACAACGAGGAAGAACAGAGAAGGAAGCCAAGATTTTGGTGTCCTCCTGCTCCTGGATTCCAAGCCATGATTATACTAAGGTTGATGTTCTCCTTTCCCAGTCATGTAGCATAAACGTCCTGCAGCCTGTCAGGCTCCATCCCCCAGTGCTGACATCCAGCGTTTGTAGGTCTCTTCACATTGCCCCAGAGTACAATGAACAAGGGAGACTTCACAACCTATATGCTTCTAATTATAGTTTACCCCCAAAATGTTGACTCAGTCTGGTCTGTGCACTGTCAGATCAATCAACTCTAATTACTCATAATACATTTTAAAGTAATATTACCTAGTGTCCTAAATCTCATTCCAATTTTATATATCTTTTACTCTTCCTGTATTATGGTGCTTCTCTTTAAGCTCTAAAATTTCAGCATGAGGACAATCTGCATTAGAGTAATTATGCTTAACTCAAAATCTCCCCACTCCTCAAATCTGGTTTTAAAGATTAACTCTGCCTTTACTCTCTGGCCTAGTGTGATAAGGGAAAAAAGTAAATGCTTTAATTCATGGTCTTTAATAACCATCCTTTGTTAATGATGACTATAAGTTGCATGGAGGAAGAGAACACGTTCATTAGTTAAAAAAAAAAAAAAAAGGAGTAGTTGTCTAGGAAGAAGAAGAAGAAGAGAAAAAAGGGATGGAGGAAAGGAAAGGATAAGATATCTCACAGGAAATAGCTTGCCTGGCTCACAGAAAGCATTTTCATCAAGTCTTCTTCAGCTCAAAAAAAAAATGTTACCACATATAATCAGAGACATCCAGTCATCCCCTTTCTTTCCTTAGAAAATTCCATCATATACAGTGTTGTAACCCAATAAAATAAATGAAACTATAAAAAATGTTATTAAAAATAAATAAAATATATTGCAAAAGGAAGAAACTGCCAAAAGCAGCTGCATGCTAGAACCAACATAGTTTAGTTTTCATAGCCAGAGAGAGTGCCTTCTCTTCCCAACTCTACCTTCTATGGTAGCACATCAATAGTTTGAAATTGGCCATGATGAAAATATTTACACCATGAAAATTGGCATGCTAGGGTTCAGGCTTCTTCCTCCCTGCTCAGAGAACCAATAGTTGAATATTTATCACCACACCCCTGGCTAGAAGCCATGGAGAGGAAGGAACCCCAGGGTCAAGATTACTGGGAACTGTGGAATTAATGCCTTTTTTGTAGTAGAGAAACAAATGAAACTAGGTGGCAGTAGGGCACAACTGTAGAGACTACTGATAGTGCCTGGAGTATTAAAGCTTATATTTGAACCAAAGAAATAATGATGATCACTTATGTGATTTGGAGTTTCAGTGAAATTTTGGTGAAATAACTTTAAAAAGTGGTGCAGAATCTGAGCCTGTTGGTTGAATACTATCTGAGGGAACCAGGATGCCATGTGCTAGTGTCAGTGATCTGTCTGACCTCTCTGCATTTGAGAAGCCCCACTGAACATTTCTGTCATCCTGCATTGCAGTCAGAAGTCATATATTATTTGAAGGTAGACAGAAGTAATGCTGTTCTATGTTGGCGAATCCTAAGTCTAGACATACCTTACTACAGAGTGGGGAATAATAAAAAGCCCTTAAGTGACCTCAGCTTATCTCTTAAAATTATTAATAACCACATATATGAAATCTTATATAAATAAATCATGTGCTTTTTAGGTCAATTTTATTCATTTTGTTCACTCATAAAAATATTTTTTATGAAATAATTTTGTGGGCCTTCCTGGTGGTGCAGGGTTAAAATCTCAGCCCTATCAAGCTATCACCAGCCACTGCAGCATGAGTTCCATCCCCGGCCAGAGAGCTAACCCACATAGCACAGCAGACCTCTCCTGTCTTGCCCACTGCTCCCCCCCCCAGTAGTATATTTCAGTAGATCTACCTGTTCTGCTCCTTATTATCTCTGGTGAATCCTCTCACCCCCCACAACTCTGGCCTATACCCCAGTTCTTGTATGCATAAACAAATAAAAAATACTTCTAAAAAACAATTTTGTGACATACTCCCTAAATCAACACTATTTTCATCAAATTATTACACTTATTATATCATAAGTAAAGGTATAGAAATAGAAATAATGTATTTAAAGATAATTTTATATGCATAAAACAACCATAAAATACATAAATAAATATGTTTAATCTTTATTTTCACTGCATTAGTCAGCCTGATTTAATTACCAAAAGTACTTGGTTTTTCCTTTTTTTCCTCTGAACCATGAGTAAGGGGGAAACTTGATGTATGTCTTCAAAAAGAAGACTACCAGAGAGGAAAGGTATGGGTGGACAGCAAAATGAGAAGGGAACCCCAATGGAATGTGGTGGAGGATAATGGGAGCTTTGGTGGTGGGTGTGGTGTGGTAACACATCTGAAGCAGTGTCAGTCTATACTACTAAATCATACATGGTGTGGTAAGCTAACTTTACCTCAATAATAAACAACGCAATAAAAGGGTTTAACTATGGCATGTATCAGACACAGATTTAATATTTACTGATATCTACCTGTTGTTAATTGGAAATTTCTGTATTTCTTAGGCAGACTTTACATATATATTTTTTCACCATACATTAATGAAATGAATTCTTTTGGCAACAACATAATTCCTGGGGTGGAATCAAATGTATTACATTTGTATGCTATATTCTCAATAAGGTTTAAGATCCCTATTGTGAAATGTATGTATTCCATTACATTCAAATGATTTTATAGTTTTAATTATGCATGACACAAATATTATGAAGCTTAAACCCTTAATTGCTAATGATAAAAAGTGAGTTCACAGAAAATGAGAACCACAGAAATAGAAATCATAGAAATATGTGTCATGAGTTCGTACTCTTCAGAAAATATGAGCATTAAATTTGAGTGAAAAAACAAATTCACAACAGTCAATACAAGATATTAATTGCATGTTTACAAGTCAACCCTCTGACACAAACTTATAATTAAATGTAGAGAATCTTTTCATTTGCCTCTCTTCTGAGGCAACATTAACAGGGAATTTCCTAATAAATTCAAAAAATACTACATTAGGAAATATTTTCCAGAATATAGGAGCCTAGCTAAAAATAACCTAGTGTATTTTACAATGGAGAGGCACTTTATATATATTTAATAGCCTAAAAACTTATGTATGAATGTAGTGAGAAGATAATATGCATAAAGAAAAATAAGAGTATGTGATGTCAATGATGCAGAAAAAGGACTTGACAAGATTCAACAATATTTGTGATAATAAATCTCAATAAAATGGGGAAAGAAGGAATATACTTCAACATAATAAAGACCTTATATGACAAACCCACAGCTAGCAGATAACTTATTTTGTAGGTATATGTCATAAATTTTTCCAAACCCATAAAATACATAACACCAAGACTGAACCCTAATATAAATTGTGTCAGTGTAGGGCCTTCAATTATAACAAATATACCATTTTGGTGGGGATGGTGACAGTGGGGGGAGGCTATGGGAAGGGGTTATGCGGTATATAGGAAATCTTTGCACTTTTGACTCAATTTTGCTGTGAACCTAATACTGTGAAGCATATCTTTTCATTAGTCTTTCAAAAAAGGTAATACATTTTCTCAGTTACTACTTACATGTAGCACTGTGATTTTGTCTTACATTCAAAATTGTTTTCTTTCAGAATATTGAAGATATTACTCAAATGCCTTCTAGCATATGATGGGATTGTAGTTCCTTTTACGTTAACATTTTCCTCCTTCTCTTTTTTGTATTCTGTATATTTATGGTGCTCTAAAATGTGAAGCACATACACTGAGGCATCAACGTATGTTATTTTGAAGTTTATCCTATTTGTCTCTTGGAATCTTTTAAATCCAATTTTAGGCTTATTTTAGCCCTGAATGTCATCTTCTGTTATTCCCTTGCTTCCAATATCTCACCA